TCTGAATGCAGGGTGAGACACACAGTGAGTTTCAGAATAACAGGGGCTACACAGACTTGCCTATCTCAGGAAAACAACAGTCAAGAAGGAGAGAAAACAGCCAGAGGTATACGAGTCTGGGCAGCAAAAGAGCAACAAGTTTGAAAAAGGTAACATGTGCAGCAAGGTTCACCATCAGCCCCTCAAGCGTACGCTTCAATGACCAGCACCCAATTACAAGCATCTTCACGATGAATAGAAGACCACTGCTTCTGGAAGTTCACCATGATACTGCCCACCACTGTAAGGATATAGGTTCTCACTTGTCCAAGGATCAAACCCTACCAAAAGGGGGTGAAAAGCAGAGAAGAGAGATGTAAGTCCTGCCTGGAACAACACAGACTAAGGCAGGCCTCTAGGAGAACACACCCAAAGAGAAGATTCTTGGAGTTCATCATCCAAGATGCACTCAATACACTCAGTCCTGTCCTTCAACAAAGTCACAAAGGAGACCTTTGATCTCTTTCTTGGGTCATGGACAGAGGATGACAGCTCATAAATCTGATCAACTGAAATGGTTTCTCACCTGAGTTCCATCCACCTAGGTGTTCACCTCCTTCCTGCCCAAGACTACTGACTGTATGTACAGTGCATGCTCATGGGACACTGTCCGCTGCAAGGTGATACCTCAAAGAAACAGAAGACACAGCTTCGACATGGAACCTTATTTAAAAAACTCTGCCAATATCCTAGAGTAAACCTCATGGGAAGGGGGACTTCCATGCCAGGATTGCCTCATTTCACTAGCATACACCTCAGCCTCCATGGCTACTGTTGGTCTCCTGGCATCCTCTCTAACCAAGTCCATCTTTTAGCTCAGAATCCAACATTCCTATTGGCTGCTGCCCTGTTTATGACATCATTGACCCTTCAATCTTACCACCACCTGGTAGGTTCTTGGGGTTTCCATGGAGATGCCTGTAAACACATTTGGACCATCACAGGTCACCTGTGACAAGTAAGTGCTGTCTGATACCGGACACACTTGCCACTCAGGTCAGCTGATCAGACAAGGACAACCAATTATCTTCCTCTATTGTACTGTGGGTTGCTGATACTCTTCCTCCAACCATGGCAGGTAAGGAAAGAAACTTTAAAATGGTTCATTTGATCATACCTCCCCTTATTTTTACTATTCTTTTAAATCTTTGTTTTGGGGATATCACTTGTGCTAATAGTGATATCTTGAATTGAATGTCACATTTAGGTTTGGTTCTGACTAGGTATGTGAGCTTGGACAGACAGTTTAATCTCAAGTGTTTTCCATCAACCTCAGGGAGATGAGAGTGTCACTAAGCTCTGGGCTCTGTACTGTGGAGTCT